CGGAAAGACAAGCAACAAGCAGTGCGCAGGCTATGGCGAGACAGGGAAGCAGGGCGAGGAAGAGGAGTATGAACGTGGCGTTTCATGCTGGTATGGAGGGGGATAGGCGGGGCAGAGCAGGTTCAGCAGGGCAGGTAGAGGCGGTATGCATGACGTTCGGCCTAGGAGTGCTTAGGCGTCGGGATACGAAAGCAACACCGGGAGAGTCCCGATTGCCAGGAACGTTACCACTTCCTCCACCTCCTGGTGCTCTTTTTTCAAGTCCCAGTCGGCGCAGAAATCCTTGCCCCCGCCGCCCAACTCAACCCTTCACAATCACGGAAACCGGAAGCCCCATTTGCTGTCAGAACCATTAACCGTACGGTGGTCCGATGAAAAGAACCCCCTGTGTTCTGTTCTGATATAGTTGCTGTGTTCGTCCGAGAATAGCAGAACACTATCGCTCCTATTCACCCATTTATACGCAGCTATCCTACAGCCGGAAAGGAACAAAGAAAAAGAAAAAGAAAAAGAAAAAGGAAAAGAAAAAGAACAGACGAGGAAAAAAACAAAAGAAAATGGAAACAACAACAAAGGAAAAAACGACAACGGGAGTAAAAACGGAAAGCAAGGAAGAGAAGACGGAAAGAAAAAAAGGAAGAGAACCATGACTGACCCACGGTCTACTCGGGGTACCAAGCATCTGCTTGTTACCCAAGTCCCCCGACCTTTTCCGTCATGATCCGAGAGCGAGCTGCTCCCAAAATCCTTACTCAGTTGATTCACATTGCCCAGGGAGGTTTTTCTGGGGATTATGCAGCCAGGTCTGTGCCGCCCTCATTATTCCTACGAAAAAAGGTGGAAAAGGGGAGAAAAGACAAAAGAAAGAAGGAAAAAAAGGAAAAAAAGGGGGGAAAAAGGAAAAAGGGAACGGAAAAGAAGAGGGGCAAGAAAAGGAAAAAGAAAGAAGGAAGAGAGAGAGAGAGAGAGAGAGAGAGAGAGAGAGAGAGAGAGAGAGAGAGAGAGGACCTCCAGCTCCTGTTGCTTATCATCCTCTCTCACCTGCGTGTGTGTGTGTGCGCGCGCGCACGAGTATGTGTGTGTGCGTGTGTGCACGGGCACTCATGTGTCCCCAGTGTTCTTGTGCTTCTTTCGTATGTGCTCTGGGTACTACAAGCTCCACTGCCTTGTCTTCCATATCAGGGCCTTGCCTCCTCGTTATCTTCTCCTGATCCCCAACCGAACCCTCCGTCCATCTGTCCTCCCTTGTATTTTAGCGTTTTTTTCTGCAACTTCTGCGGGTGCATAATAACGGAAGGTGGTATCGGTGTTTCCTGGCTGATCGTCGAGTACAAGAGCATAGCTACTGCAGAGTCGCAGGCTCTTCTAGCACGGCACTTCGCACCGACAGAGAAGACAACATTAATACGGCTGATCCCTACTAGCATTCCTACTCCTTCTCCACGCATCACCACGGTGGCATTTAGCAATCAGATGAGGTAACGTACCATACGAGACTTCCACAAAGATTCTGAGAACACGAAGCCTAAAGATAACGAAATCCAAGGACCATATAATTAAGTCCAGCCACTCCATTCTGTAATACGAGAAGAAACACGAAGCGAGATCAATTACACAGGGTATAGGAGTGAGGAAAGGAGGAACCTATTCTTAGAAAGCACATCACGGATGAGAGACTACACGTGGCGGGAATAGGGAAGAGGGGAGGATGAGTTGGGAAGGGGAGGGAAGACGACAAAGAGGAAGAGATAGGGGGAAGGGGAGGGATAGTGGAGGTGCAAAAGGGAAGAGGGAAGGAGGAGGAATTAGGAGAGTAAAGAAACCACGAAGATAAGTCAGGCTCGAACCTCGTGCTGAACTTTGTGATGCCAACGCAGGAATTATGCATGACTCGAATCTGCACGCTGGGAGAGGGCAGATGCAGTCAAGCTGTATTGTCAGCGCACTCATGAATTCCAGCCGTGATCATAAATGTTACCGTAATTCGGATTTGTCGTTTTGTGTTCAGGTTGATGCAGGAGCATCGTTTGTGCATTCAAGAGCAATCCTTTCTGTTCGTGAACATCCTAATCCAGGACAAGCAAGAAGAAACTTAGCTGGAAAAAGTGTGAAAAACAGCTTCGCGTTAAGGGGACATCGGACTTGATGTCCGATCCAAACCGTTGATTAATCCGTTCTCTGTGCTAGCCAAGCAGCAGCCTTGGGAGCTATGAATCCTCCCCGGTGGAGGCCAAGCGAGGTCTAGGCCGCAACCCCACGGTATGGAAAAAAAAAAAAAAAAAAAAAAAAAAAATCAAACAATTCTGGAAAAACAATACGTAATGCAGAAAAATAAACTGAACAACTTTTGCCTTCTGTGGTCATATCCAAAAACTTTACCAAATTTGAAATTAAAAAACAAATAAGTTCCATAGTTTTTCTTACTAGAAGAAATAAAATAAACAGCTTTTGCTTCAGGAAAAGTAGTTTTTGAATTTTTGAAATTAAAAGAAGAAGTGAACAAAAAAAAAATTAAAAATTGCGCGATGTAGATCTTAAAACCATCTACGACATTATATTTTTTATTATTACTTTTTAGAATGTTTTGAAGCCTAAAACAATTCCTGAAAATTGCGGCCGCAGCCAACCGTAGCCAACCGCCGCCAGAGGGGCAGCGGCCGTGATCCCAACCGCACGCCGAGATTGACCCGGCAGCCTCGGGTGATACATAGCTTGGGAGTAGAGCAAAAATAGTGGGGAGATCAACAACCCAAACCAGCTCGTCAACAGGGGATGCAGTTTTAGTCTCGTTTTTTCTTTTCTGCTTTTGCTCGTTCTTTTACTTCTCCTTTTTTTTTCTTACAATGACGAACAAATTTCTGGTTGTGCTCGTTCTTTTACTTCTCCCTTTTTCTTTTCTATAATGACGAAAAAAATTCTCGATTGAGACGCAGCAAACGAAACAGATCAAAGGACCACGAGAGTCATGCCTGGAACCAAGTCCGACTCACTGGGAGCGTGATCACCTACCGTAGTTCTCGAGCATTTGTCGAAGCGGCCAAAGTACGACCACGAGATTTCCAGACAGGACGGATCTGAGCGGCCGGGGCTCGAGAACTGGTCCATCCCAGAAACCTGTGGGATCTCGCTGCCGTTTCTCGAGCTCCTATATTTGTTGGATTTCGCGTTCGCAGCCGTCTGTGTGCACAATTCAATGACATGCTTTCCCGGAGTGCATGAGAGTTGCAATCCCAGCCAGGGGCGACGTCACGCTATGCTTAGCGTGCCGTCTATGACCGTCAGCATGCACAAAAAGGGGATAACTGGTGGAAAGCGGCCACTGGGAGATCTCGACACATTTAATCAATCACCTGGATTGCGAGAGAGACTTACCGCACGAGCCATCGCCCGATGCGCGGTCTATCATCTCCAAACAGTTACTCAGGTTCCAGCTCCGACTGCTTTCCTCTCTTCTGAAATGGAAACGTACATGTACATGTATGCTACGGAAGCTGCTGTGCCGCTTGCCGGCTATGACCCGGAAATCAGTCAAGATCGACGGTCAGGATCAAATAGCACTTTGGCAGCTTGGAGACAGCGGCAGTGGGACCGTCCTGGTTGCCTTGATTCGTCATATCTGTAATGGTTGATTAAATGTTGTGTGGCGATCTCCACGGTGAGAAATGAAGAATCAAAGTATGTGAGTGAAATCTCATCCATAAGGATGCCAGTGGGTGAATGGGTCTTTTCCAGCGACAAGCAAAACGGACAAGAAAGCCGAGGAAAGAAGAACTGAACGAGATGCGAGAAATATTGCAAACACGAGCCCGACAAATGAAACAGACAGAAACGAGATCAGAGAAAACCCAGCAATGTGAACGAGCCATCCAGCATGGGGACAAACTCTTACGTAGAAGAAGGGAGAGACGACTCCCGAAAGGCAATCTTGAACTCTTCTTCGGGCGGAGGGGGGGGGGGGGGGGGGGCGGCGAAGGGGAGCAGGACGCTGGGGTTTTGGCCTGGACGAGGAGAGGGGTTTTCAGCAAGTGAGCAAATTGGCAAAGGAAGCTCCTGGACGATGCAGCGGGGAAAGCAAAGAGGATTAACAGGATGACACGCGCAAACCAAGAAAGGGTCCACTCCACAAAATGGGGGCACAGAAAAGGTAGAACGGAAAAACGAGAGGTTGGCAAGTCTTTCCTCATGACAACAAATAAGATTCCGTTCGAAAAATAAAACTGAGGGATTGAGTGACCATGTAAAGCACAAAGCTTACAAATTGAAGCAGCACGAAGCTTACAAATTGAAGCAGCGCCCTGAGAGCACGCGAGCTCAGTACCTTGAGCAAAATCTCATTCCGCGAAATTCGAAATCCTAACACGATAAGTCATTGAAAACAGTTACTCCCTTCTCGTTTTCCTGGACGTCAATATTTCAGCAACACCAAGAAGAAAGAGATAAGGCGCTCTCCGGCATCAGATCAAGATTCAAGAATGCCAACACAAGGAAAGGTGGGGTGGAGAGAGAGAGAGAGAGAGAGAGAGAGAGAGAGAGAGAGAGAGAGAGAGAGAGAGAGAGAGAGAGAGAGAGAGAGATGCTTCGGCTTAGCTGTCTGGGACGTGAGTCGTTACTCCCGCATCACCGACGGAAGGTCTGTCGACTCAGCGGACATTCTACTAGTAGATTACCTCCCACAGCTACGATTATGCAGTAATACAAATATTTGCAAATGCGATCAGAGAGTTTTGATAAGAAGAGATGTCCTGATATAAACAGATAGTCACTTCGGAACCTCGTCATTTCACACAGACTCCATTGGCCATCCTAGTACGGAGCCAGTGTCACCAATTGTTTCCCCCTCCTGGTCCCCCATAACCTCACTCTCTTCTCCGGAGTCCTTTGGGCAGGCCTGCGAGGGGATAGTTCTGAGTCCTCCCGGCATTCCTTCGCCTATCCATTGGAGGGCCGTATCCACACCGGGACTCCATCACCGCATGCACATTCAGCCAAGGAAGTCCTTGGTGTGAGTATGCGCTATGGCCAAACTTAGCCGCTGGCAAGCTGGAAAGCTGACGATGTTGGATCGCCGCCCGGAGCTTAGCACGACGCCCAGCTGATGGAGAACTCCTGCGTTAGCTTGAGACCCTCAGAGCCGATAGTCATGAGGCCGCTTTTCGGTGGATTTCCAGGATTCAGCCGCACTTCGAAGTTGAAGTTGAGGTTTCTGACGACGTTGCACACGCTGTACGCCACCACACTGAACTCGTCTGTGAACTCGAAATTACCATCGAAAGGGCCGGTGATGACGCGCTTGCTTCTAGCGGCCCCTGGTGCCAGGGGGATATTGTGACTGGTCTGAGCGGACCCGGTCACGCCTGCGTCCAGCTTGGCGTATCCGCGCATAGTGACCATCCCCAAGCCGAAGATGAAACCTGGCGGATAACTCAGAATGATCGTCACCGTGCACCTCCTCCGCATACCGTCCCAGGCAGCGGCTGTCGACGCAGTGTAATTGCTGAACATCACAGTGATCACTTCTCCATCATCCGATACTGCCCCCTCCGCAGACCTTAGCGGGCAGCCATCACCGTTGTACTTAAAACCCGAGATCTTGACCGTACCCGCTTCCGGAGATGCGGCTTGTCCATGCATAGCCGACGTTAGGAATGCGAGCAACAGCAGGGCCGCCATGGTGGCAACGGAGATGACTGGTGGGAACCCTCGTTGCGCCATTGTGATCAGCTTCGACATCTAGCTTCTTCTTCCTTACTGCCAGCCTGTGGCAGGCGGGAGGAACTTCGTTTGCAAATTCTACAGCAACCTCTACAACCACCTCCACATAGACGAAGGCCACCGTCTCGAGTGAGTGCTGGCGTGCAAGTGTAGCCGTGCTCTCACTCCTCTCCGCGGGCACCGTGCCCAAAAGAGAGACACCTTCCAACTCTCGGCTACGAATAGGTGACACACTCTGCGCTAGCAAGCTCTGAATCACCCGCTCCGCATTCCAGCCCCGCTGTTCCTGCCTTTATGCACAGCAGCTCGAAGGGTCTGATCCCATAATACTTACCGTAAGTAAAAAGGAGAGGTGGACCCCACTTCCTTGTAGACGCTTGCCGCGTCATTTGTCAGCGTTTTCCAAGGCTTCGCCGCAAAGCAGTGGGGTCCTACAAATCCTCGTCCAAAGCTTTGCCGCAGAGCAGTGGGGTCTCACAAATCCGCAGATGTAGGGAGCTCTGCCAGCCAGGCGGCATCAAGTGGCCTTGTGGAAACGTTGATGTCCGCGGCGAAGACAGTTGGGGCATTTCGGAAAAGGAGGGGACCCGTGCCCCCTCCCCTAAATGAAGGCGCATTTTTTACGGGACAGGCCTTCTCTGTCCGCTCCCAAAAAAAAAATGCCGCCACTTCTGATGCGTTTGGGACCATCCCATCCGTCCCTCCATTTTGGGTGGACCCCACTGCTTTGCGGCAAAGGTTTGGAAGACGATTTGTGAGACCTCACTGCTTTGCGGCAAAGCTTCCGTTTCCACTCAGGCCTGGACCTCACACGTTTGCGCTTCGGAAAAGTTTTGCCTTCCGGGACCCCACAGCCCTCCGCGGAATGCCTGGAAGGCCCATTTTTTTTCCGCGGAATGGTTTTCCGGGACCCCACAGCCCGATACCGGCGGCGTGGAAAACCGTGGATTGGCGTTTCCACATGGTTTCCGGGCTGGAAAACTCCCGCGGGAGCTTTCTCCGCCGCGAAATTGTGCAGGGTAGCAAGGGTGGTAGGGGGCGACTTCAGTGATGTTTCCAAGGTTGCGGACGGGTGCCGGACTTTCGTTTGTCTGACTCGTGGAACGTACGTTCCTGGAACCGGCACGGCCGGCCGGCCCGTGTCGCCCAGTCACCGAGGCCATAGGCCGACGGGGCGTCGATAATGGGTTCTACGTGGTGGTCCCCAACCGGAGGCAACGGCGAGCGCGGGACGGCCCGCCCGATTTTCGAAATTCGAATTTCGAATTCCAGTTGCAGGCCCTAGTGCCGTTCACGTCATCTTGTAGCCGGTGTGCTTCACCTGCTCAACGCTGAAACTCCTCGTGACGACGGGCAGTCACGTAGAGCGGCTGCAGGCACAACATACAAGTCATCATTGCCATCGCAAAACAGCCAACCATATCCGCCCTTCCCCAATACACCAACTTTCCCATGCACAGAGCTGCGTACCTCCATCGCCGTGGTGAGGCGTGGTCGCTCGTTCGCGACCACGCACATGGTCTGGCCCGCCGGTTCCTGCACATCGGGAGACAGTCGGAGGCGACGTCCGTCCCCTCTGCTGCTCGGCGAGGACGACGCACGGCAGGGCGATGTCACTATGACCTCGTTCCACGGCATTGTTCTCACACCCCCGCGGGAGATGTGTCCTCCGTCCTGCGTGCTTCCCGTACTTGCTCCATACCGGGTGCTTGGAGAACGTGGTCGCAAGCACACGCCGACATCGTTCCTGCAGTTCGCCGAGTTGTTCCACGGGTGACCATTCGTGGCAGTCCCACACAAGATCGGGACGGAGGGACTTGTCGAAGGAACGAGGGAGAGCAGTGCGTGAAGGTGGCAGCAGTGCCATACCCGTCGCGAGCTTCCGCATGTGTTCATGAAGTGCGTGAGGGCGGCAACGTGCCTATTGTCATCTTTTTCGGTGGGGAGTGTCGGTGCCCGTCTGCCACAGGACTCGTCGTGTGGGCCTTCATTGTGGGAGTGGTGGTGCTCTTGGTTGTGCTCGTGCTGCTGGTCGTGTGTGCAGCCGCACTTCTTGTAGCCGTGTTTATGAGACGTCCGTGATCTCCGTCGACGATCGCGGGTGGTGCACCGCCACGTATGGAGGGCCGAACGTTCACATCGGAGCTGTGCGGAGATGTCGGAGAACAGGTGAACATGGACATCGGGGAAGTGATCGGGACGCTGTTAGAGGGCAGTGGGTATAGGGCGAGTCTATCTGCACAATCGTCGCAGTACATGGACGACCATCCTTACACCTTCTTGCCTCCAACACACGGCGGTGTGCACGGTTCGAACGGACGACCCTCTCTCGCCATGCCAGTGCAGGATGTGTCTGGATGCGGAGGTCGGGGTGCGTACCCGACTACAATGTACGACTATGGTATGCAGCAGGGTTCTAGTGGGGTGTATGGCCAATGTACGCAGCACCCTCGTATGCGGGCAGTACCTTCGAGGACCGACTCTCCCAGATCGGGTTGTGTCCCCGAGCATTCTGTTCAGCCGTCGCAGCCGTCGCAGTCGTCGCAACCGTCACAGCATCGTATGCAAGGTCCACCGCCACTATGTCCGCCGGTGAACAGACGCACAGCAACAATGGGTGAACACAACAGTCCCGGACAGGTGAGGGCGCAGTAGACTGCAATGGGTGCATCGGGTACCCGGGCTGCGGGAGGGCTATCACGCGGTGCCGGCATGGGGAGTGCAGAAGAGCAGCAGCAACCACCGGGGATGGCGGAGCACGTCGTGGACGAAGTTGAAAGGCCACGATCTGTATTGACGAAAGGTGGCGAAGGTAGAACAGCAGCGTCCCAGGGCACGGGCGGTGGTGGTGAGAAGAGAAAGGCCCCAAAGCCATCGCAGCAACCAAAGAAGAACAGCATATGGACTTTGGAGGAGCGAGTGTTGTTGGCAAAAGTAAGCGGCGAGGATGATGCTCTCATGGCCGACGCTGAAGGTGCCCACTGTAACATGACCAAAAGCAGGCGGTACGGCTGGATAGCGGATTGTGTGAAAGAAGAGGGCTACACACGTTCTGGGGAAGATTGTCGGAAGAAATGGGCTGAGCTGACGAAGAAAGTGAAGGAGATCAGAGATGCCTGCGACAGATCTGGCAAACCAACGTATTGGGAGATTACGACCGAGGAAAGGAAGAAGTTAGCATGACTTTCGAGAGGGCGTTGTGGGATGCCATGGAGTGGTACCGTACGAAGGCCGCATTCTGCATGGAAAACACCATGGCCAGCGAGGAACTGAAAGGGGGCGGGTGTACGGCGGGCAACGACGGTGGGTCGGAGGGAACGGGGACGGATGCTTCGGACAGTGCAGCAAAGACCTGTAGGACATCGTCTGGCAGGAGTCGTGGCGGAGATCCCGCACCTTCGTCTCCAGGTTTGGTTGCAGCGATGGAGGAATCGACCTGTTGAGTTTGCGATGGTTTGGATAGGGCCGCCTCGACGCTGGCTCGAGCATCTGCCGAAGGTGCTGCTATGCTCGCTGCCTGAATCGGTGACGTGGCGACAGAGATTGGTCACGTCGCCGGGGCTATGCAGCAGGGAAACTCCGTTTCGGAAATGTTGGTGGGAGTGATGGCGGGCAGGGGCCAGGGAGGAGGCACGAGATCGCAGGAGGGGGGGGGAACCCCCCTTGAGCGGAGTTGTCAGAGGCGTCGACACGACCGTGGTCGTACATGGGTTGAGCAAGGATTTATGAGTTTTTGATCTGTGGTGTCGGCGTGTGGGCCAGATCAGACTCCCCATTCGGCCCAAGGGTCAGCGAATGTGATCCCTTGGTCCACGACGAAAAAAGAAATGAAAAAAATAAAATTAAAAATATCAAAACGAATCGACACCTCATGTAGTGGATGTTGCTATCAGCTGTTGTGAGGGACTGTTCTCGCCGGGCCGTCGCTATATATGCCTGCAGATGTGCAGAGGACCGATGTGTTCCGGAGTGCGCACACGCTTTGTAGTGATGACGGGAGGCGAGTGATAGATCTTTGAGGTGGTCGTGCGAGGGTCGGCATCTTGGGGAGAGAGAGAGAGAGAGAGAGAGAGAGAGAGAGAGAGAGAGAGAGAGAGAGAGAGATGACGGTGGTGTTGGCATGGAGGGCTGTCTCTTATACACATCTAGTTTTTTTGCTCGGACCTTACCTGATCCTTGCACGGGCTGGCCACTAGGGACCCGGGCGGCCCGGCTTGTAGCCTAGTTAAAAATATAAAAAACACNGAGAGAGAGAGAGAGAGAGAGAGAGAGAGAGAGAGAGAGAGAGAGAGAGAGAGAGAGAGAGAGATGGCGGTGGTGCTGGCATGGAGGGAGATCGTGAGGGGGCAGGCGATCATGTGCTGGGAACGGCGAGGAGAACAGGACGGCTATTTTCGCCGGGAGCTTGCCTTCGGACCGGCGATCACTCGGCGATAGTTCCGGTTCTATTCCGTGGATGTTGACGGAAAGCCGGCCGTTGAGCTGGAGGTTGCGCTGGGATTCAACAAGCGCATGCTGTCGCACGTGCTTTTGTGGGTGATGAAAACGGGGGATGCGGTGCCCGATGATTGGGCACATCTCCAAGTGGACATCGTCGGTGACATCGTCACCAATTTCATTGAAAATCTCACCACGGAGCACGCGAGGACGTTGGAGATGGGGGCCTTCTATTACACGGTCATGGTCCCCCCACTCGTCGGCCGCGGGTATCTTCATGGCGAGATTCGACTGTGAATACCGTTTAGGGGCCGTTGTACATGCGCCACGTGGCAGCGATGTGGGCGGTCCAACCGGAGAGCGCAAGGCGGGCTGGTGATGTTGAAGAGAGGTGGTTGGTCAGTGCGAAAGTCGCAAGATGGGCGACAGAGTTTACACGTGCAGGGATGATCGGATCGCCATGCACAAGACGGGTGGCACGTGCGGGCGGAGTGTTTGAACGGAGTGGAGTGCAGACAGCCACGTGCCACCTTATCGCATGGCCGAACACGGAAGCTTCTCGCCACGTGTCACTGCTTTGCATGGCGGGATCGGCGAACGCAAGATTGGGTGCAGTACTCATCGCAGTGCATGTCGACCGAAGTGT